GCCAGGAGAAGGAATGAGAAATTGTCCCCGCAATACTTTGGTCCTTATGAGATTTTGAAATGCATTGGAGCAGTGGCCTATCGATTGAGGCAACCACATTCATCAGCATTGCATCTAGCCTTTCATGTCTCACAACTGAGGAAGGCGATAGGAGATCATACACCATCTTCTCTACACCCGACTTTGACAGAAGACATGGAGGTCATTTTGGAACCCCTAGAAGTAAAAGGTATGTGTGGAGGAGGAGACAGGGGCACAGAAGGTGCTAATCAAGTGGAAGAATTTGTCAAAGCACGATGCTACATGGGAGCCCTACGAGATAATCAGGAGAAAGTTCTCTCATCCTTCCACCTTGAGGACAAAGTACATCTTTGGGAGGGGAGTATCGTTATGACCATGCCAGTTACGGGCAGGAGCCAGACGCCCAATTCAGAGGAACTAGACTCAGCAGGTTGGAACATGGAGGGGGTTTCGACCCATCTTGTGGGGCCCAACAAGCTATAATTCATTATGTAAGGAGGAATTAAGGGGACATTATTTAGGAAAGTTTTAATTACAATTGAGAATGAATTATTTAGGGTAAGAGATCTAATTTGAATTCAAAATCTAAGAGGAAATTATTTAGGAAAAGGGGACTGATTTCGGAGGGAATTAGGGGTTCCTATTTAAAGCTAATTATGTTGATATTTTGAGGTATGCAAGTTACTTTTTTGCTATAGTTTTTCTTGTGAGTTTCTTAGTGGAATCTAGTGTTTGTGGGCTGATCAACCTCTCGCATAGTAGATAATTGTATATTTCTTTCTTGTGAGGTGATAATAAAAAATCACTCCCTATCTTTGTGTTCCTATAATTTTATACTTGTTATCTTGCTGTTTTTTTTTTTTACTTCCAAGACGCATCAATTACCTAACGTCCTTACACATCCTTGCTGAAATCTCCTTGTGTAATCTATTTTATCGTGCCAATCTACTTCCTAGAAACATTAGACCCGTCATAGTATATGACAATTTTATTAATACAGCAATGTTGCATCTTATAGCCTTATTATTTCAATCCTCTCAAAATCAATAGACAAAGTTATGAAATAGCATTTCATAGACTTAAGGTTTAACCCATACTTAAGTACATAAGAAAGGCATCCAAAATCCTTTAAATGAGAAAGATTTACCTCATCATCAATTCAAACTTCTTTCAGCAATTCATGCGATTAAGGAACTGATGGCTCTCCACTAATAAGGTAATCTGCTGCTTCAAGCCCTTTCATTCATGGACATGTTTATGTATTCGAAAATCAAATATTGTTGGGATGTTCATGAAATTATTCTCCATATGGATCCCATTTTATTACCACACTATACTTTTTGACATTTAGGCACATTAACTTTGAATCAGATCTATTTTTTATCAAACTATTCCAGTTTCTAATATTATAGAGGACATCATATTTATTTTTCATAAACTAAAGTACTAAACCCAGCATTTTTGGTGGAGTCAGCAATGAAAGTGGCATAGTAAATTGGGGTTGTGACCATGAACTTATTTATTTGATTTACGTGCTGACTATATTTATTTTGATCACTCTACATTATACTTCTTTTTAATTCTTCCTATACCTTTAATTTTTAAAGTATGAGATGAGAGTTCACCTGAATCTTCACTATGGCTCTCAAGCAGTGTGACAATAGGCTCAAGATATGAACTTTATCATCAAACTTAATTTCAATCAAACTCAATTTACTTATGGTAAAGCAAAATACATTGATATGTTTCGCCAATATGGTTAAAAAAATCTCATTAGATATACCTATTTAACTTAATTTAGTAAAAATGTCTTTTCGTAAATATCTGTCAGAGACTATGTTGCACCGATACGGATATGACGACACGGGACACGTCAATTCTTAAAAATACAGGATATGGGTACGGCGCGGACACATCATTATAATTTATAAATCATACATAAAAATTAAGAAAGTAATCAAAGCATAAAATTACAAAAAAAATGAAAGTAACATTATTTGTAGCTTTGTATCTTATAATATCAAAATAAAAGAAAGCATTAAATGTCTAGTACAATAATAAAAGCATAAACATAAATTGTCTAGTACATGAAGTTTCAACTATTCAATAGAAGGAATAATATGATTAGCTTCTTCAATTGTTTGTCTTCGAACTTTTATATCATCTTCAATAAATATCATAGTTTCTAATTTAAGCTCATCAAGTGAAAGATTAGTAATTTCTAATATTCTCATATCATCAAGAGACTCAAATCCATCTCCGAAATAAGAGAACCTCGCTCGCAGCCATGGAAGTAAATACAACGGGTCTTTTTTCGGATTTTTTTGTTTTTCAACGAACACACGTATCGAATACGCGTGTTCTTTTGAAATTAAATAGTATTTTAATTGGATACGGCAAAGCCATATCCGACACGTATCAGAGGTGTATCCGTGTATTGGATACAACACGCCTTCATAAATAGGTGTATCGGTGCAACATAGGTCAGAGGTTTCATCAGTCCAAATATATTTTTCTTCTCATGTTTTATGTTAAAGGAAATGTTGCCAGTAAGCAATAGGTGCATAACTCACAATAACTACTAGTTTAGCATAAGCCTAATCCTCTTGGCTAATGAATGTTGACTTCATCTCCAAAAGAGATAGATGAAGTTTCTTCTAAGTTCAATACAAAAGAAAAAAAATTCGTCTGCGAACTTTTCATTATCAGCAGCCGCTGCTCTAATTGCTCCCTTGGACCACATTACTCTCTTTTGCAATAGGGCCCAAATAGAATGTAATATACCAATAGATGAATATCCATCAACCAAGAGGCTTAACATATGTAAGGGTGACTACTAGCAAATAATGATCATAACTCTTTTTGTTCACTTTTGACATGGAATTATTTCCACTCGCATTTGTCTCTCAATAATCTATTCTAACATGAATGTTTAAAATCGTCCATCACTCCCCTTTAAACTCACTTTTAATATCATTAAATATCATGCATAGAGCCCACCAAGTAACTTAGCGCGTACATTAAAATCGCCAACCCTTGAGCATTACTCTATCATAGATAAAAGCTTTCAAAACCTATGGGAACACCATTAAGCCAAAGTCTGCATGAAAGACTCAATTCCAATCAAAACTTTAAGACCAATGTTGATTAAAAGAGCACAACAATAACCAAAAAATATTGAAATTGATGATTCAACACAACACACAATGACTCAACCTACATCCACAACCACTATCAAATTTCCACAACAGTTCAAAGGAGTACCTCACAATTTTTCTTCAAGCTGTTCTCAAAATTCAAAATAAACACTAAATAGAGATTTAAATAGGAAGCTAGTTGCAACAGTAACTCGGCTTCCAATTTCACTAATGTTATATCTTACTTTGTTGTCACTTCCACGTTGATCACTATTTGGCACTGCTACACCAACGCATTCTAGCACTAGAACCATCATGCTGTTTTTCTCAACACCACAATGCAAACACCTGTTCTACAGCGAATGGCTGATCCAAAGAGACAAAAGAGCTTTGTTTCCTTCTACAAATCACCTGAATCGAACTCTATGCCTTGTGTATTCAAGGCTTCTACCCAAACCTTATCAGAATTCTTCAATACCTTCACAAAACTCTTTACATAAATACTACAATAGATTTTCTGTTTATCTAACATCGAGCTCTTTATATATATAAATAAGATATTCCACTTCAACCTCTGAAAAAATATAATTTTGGGAATGAATCCAAGTAAAAAAATGAATTAAGAAGGCGTGGGAATATGATAAACTTAAATTATTTGCAATTGGGTTTATCCATAAACAAGAACTTGAATTGGTTCTTATTAACAATAATCAAGCTCTATTATTAACAATATATAGGGTTCATTTAAAAAATGTAAAAAATGTGAAAAAAAAAAGGTTTTAAAGCTGGCTTAAAATACTGCAATTTTTTAAAGCTATCTTCAATGAATAAGTGACTGATAGTTATGCATCGGAATCAGCGCTGGAATGTTAACTTCTGCGATTCACATATTTCAATGACCTCGTTCCCCTTTTCCCAGGCTCCTAAAATAATCGACATTAGCTTCAAAGTACTACAACTGAAATTGAAATAATCAATTCTGATCCATAATGAAGCAATCTAGAAATGCGGCCATATATTTATCTCATATAATTTGAAATTCTCCACCTAGCTTAACCTCTTTTAGATGGACTGTATAATAACTTTCATATTAACTACAAGTATACATCAATTACACAGAACAAAATTAATTTTCATTGTTATCGAAGTCGGTCACGAACCTAAGTTGCCAGCCATTAGGTAAGGTTATTAAACTCATTTCCATTCAAAGCTATAGGGCTGATAAATTTGTTGCATTTCAAAGTTAAAAGACACAAAAAGTGGGATTGATTTATTGATGAGGGAATCATATCCTTAGTACGTGATAAGTTTGTGATGAAGACGAAATTGATTTACTCCAACATGATAATGATAAGGATCCAGACACATGTTTTTATGTTTCATATTTACATCTTGTCAATCCATAAATATAAGTCAACTAATAGAACCTCATTCTACAGAGGTAAGGATATAGCAAAACTTCCTTAATTCCACTTTATCCAAGCTTGCACTGATTATACAAGCAATTCTCTGATGGTATACATAATACAAATCATAGAATGGAGAAGGGAATGCATGTATTAAAAATAAAAAACCGAAAAGAATAAATTTAAAAGTATAGAATTCTGTCATTCATCGTTACCATGATATGCATATTTCAGTTGGTCATACAAAGGAATCACAAAAAATATTTCCAGAACACGGGGAAATTAATCAGCCACGATCATCCATTTCAAAAAACGTAGTACAACAATTACAAAAGAAAACAGTTTCTGAAGAGGAACAATATATACTAATGTTGTTTTGACAAACTATATAACCTATATAAAGAAAAGTTTTATTTGATGGGTAGAGAAAGGTTACCAATTCATTGGACATAAAGCATAGACCTGTAGAAGAAAATTCAAGAAGAACTGAGTAAATAATACAAATGACATACTTTCAAAACAATTACAGCAATCAAAATCAGTAATGTTTTTATCCAAAAAGAAGAATTGAACCAAAAAAATCAACTACCAATGTAGTTCAGGTAAACAGTTAAGCGTCAGTTTTTAATCAAAGGGAGGTTTCACCTGCAAATAATAATTTACTGTTCACTCATACTTGTCAGGCACTTTGCTTTCTAAATTCTACAGGCAGCTTCAGCTCCAAATAAAACCTATGCTACAGGACCATTGAAAATCGCAGAGTGGTTCTCAAGAAACGATGAATCCTCCTCTATCACATCAGTTCTTAGGGAGTTAACTCTCAAAGAGACAGTTTTAGTTATAATTCTCAAAGAAAGATTTAGTGCAGATGATAGCTTTTAATGATCCATCTAAATTAATTCAAAGCAGGCGACGATAAGAAATAGAAAAAAACAATAACTCATAGCCTTTCTACACACTACGATGGGATGACGATAAGTGCCGGAAAGACCACAGATGAATTCACAAAGGTACTAAGTTGCCAAACCATTGAGTTGATTATTTGAGTATTTTGTGATTAACAATCATTCGTGTCAATAAAAAAATATTGTGTAAAATTCATGCTAAACAACCCATTCATATGTTCCTGCCAGCATGGCCTTCATTGTCATGTGTTACACCTCTTTCCGAGAATTATAATACCGTACAAAATCACGTGCAACCCTCATAAAGTTAAGGAAGACAGAAAGATAGTTCTCTACATTTATGCTCTTCATTTCCCTTTCAACTGTAATATCTTTTGTTGACAAATATTTTCGCATCGACTCGACTCCAATCGAGCCCGACTAGGCTCGATCGCGCTCGATCAATTCAATCGATCGTCGTCGAGGTAAAATTGATCCAAATTGAGCCTCAATTTAATTAAATTAAACCCAATTTAATTTAATTAAAATCAAATCAATTTAAATCGAACCCCGTCGAGCGTCGTCGAACCCAATTCGACGTGATTCGACACCGATTCGAGTTCAATTTCATGAAATTAAATTGATTCAACACAATCGGACCCAAACCGACCTAAATTGGTTCGGTCGAGTCCAATTCGGACTCAATTTCAGCCCTAATTTGTCAATTTGGGCTGAATTTGATTCTCAAATCAGAAATTGAGATCAATGGCTCAGATTTCATCCCGATTCCTGCCATAAACCCTGGTTTCACGCGTGAGAGGCCCGGATTGGTCCATTTTATGCGGTGGCTTGCTGCTGCTTTAGGGAAAGCAAAGGAGAAAGGGGGAGCATTCGGCTCCCCCGTGCGTGTTCTTCCCGTCCCGAGCGAGAGAAAGAAAGGGAGGGCACGAGAGAGAGCCTTTCGGCTCTCTGTTTCTGCGTCCGTCCTAGCCAAAGCCGAAGAGAGGTGGGAGAAGAGGAAGGCAGAGCAGAGGTCCTCTGCGTGCAGCCCTACCTAGCCGCCGATCTCATCCAGAGACCCAAACGAGTCCAGCCGAAGGGAAGAAGAAGGCCAGCTGAACCTGTATGCACTTCCTTGCTACTGTTTTCCTTCTTCCTTGGACCAAAAGAGGGAAGTTTCTCCCTATTTTCCTCCATTTCTTCAAGTGGAAGAGCAAAGACCTGCTCTTTTCTTTCCCTTAAGCAAAAAGGGGAGTGTTGGAGGACAGTAGAGAGACTTGATGCTGTCTACTTGCTGTGAGGATTTCTCCTTCCTCCCAAATCAACTCCGGCGACCTTAAAACAACAAAAACTGCTGTTTGGAACGTCTGGACAGCAACCATGCAGCCTCCAAAGGCTTCCAAACAGTGAAAACTGCTAGTTTGGAGAGTTTGGAAAGCAAGTGACGGCCTCCGGGAGCACTCAAACAGTGAAAATTGCAGTCCGAAGCAGTTTGGACAGCAAAATCATCCTTCGAAGCGCCTTGGACAGCAGGTTGGATGCCGTCGAAAGCTTCCAAACAGTGCTTGGGAGGCTTGGGAGCACCTTGGATAGCAAAGGAGGCATCCGGAGCACCTTGAACAGCGGCGGTGACGTCCGGAGAAGCTTGGACAGCAGTCTTCCTCCTTGGGAAAGTCTTGGACAGCAGCTTGGAGCAACTTTGGAGCTTGAATCGGAGCTTGGACAGTGCTTGGAGCTTGGATAGGAGCGCTAGGACAATCCGGGAGAGGTATAAAACTAAAACTTAGGCAAAACCTTAAGGCTCCCTAGCCAATGGCATGTGATTGACGATCCAAAGCCTTAAAACCCTAGAAACTTTGATTTTTTGGTCTCTTAAAATCTCTTTGTTGGCTGTCCACTTCGCAAAACAGTGGAAATTCGGTGATTTCCATTTGTTGGCTCTCATGTGAGGGTCCGGAGAGGATTTCGATGCGTGTAGAGGTGTCGGTTTGTTATCCAACACCTCTCAAATGTAAGTTTGTGCATCATATTGTGCCTAATACCTTCGCCTATGATCAAACCTTAGGCTAAGTATTGTCACTCAACCATACCTTGAATGACAATGTGTAGGGACTCTCACATCTTGTAGCATGCATGTCACCTCTAGCAAATTGTAAGCTATGACAAAATTCACTTAGATATTTGGGAATTACATCGTTAACATTTGTGATTTTGTCCAAATTTGTTGAATGTCAAGAAAAATGAATTCAATTGATTTTGGAAGCTTGCAAACAAATAGTGGGGTCTTTCATGAACCTCAAGTTCATGTTTCAAATCCCATGATAAAAGAAATTATTTGAATTCGCTTTCGATACATCTTCAATTTTGGAATGAAAGACAAATGGTGGATATCTTCAAGCTAAATGTTTGCATACTTAACTAAATTAGTTTGCATGATTTGGATTGCAATCCTTAACTTGTTAAAGTTTGGAAAGATAATTAAATAGGCTTATTTAATTCAAAGAAATGAACTTGTGATGTTTTATGGACCCTCAAAGGCCCATGACCCCTCATGTTTCGAAATTATCTAACGCTATTTTATAACTTCCAGAATTGAATGTTTAAGGTGAGATTGCTAAAATTCCTGAATTTGGAAATCATCTACACATACACGCATTCTTAGGTTCTTATTAGATCTTGCCCAATTTGATCCTAAACCTCCTAGAAGTCATAAGGATAGATCTCATCTATCGAAGTTTCTAGATCATGCCAAAATTGATCTAAAGACCTCTCCAAAGCATTGGAAATCTTTCTACCCTCTCCTAATTGAGTCCAAAACACTCATGGGGAAATGAGGGAATTTCCTCTCTCATGCATGTCCCCTTTCAAATTTTGGTGCTTAGAACTTCCTCAAAGTTTTAAGCTCTATGTTGCATGAGTTCCAACAAATATAAAGAGCTTGCACCCAAGCACTCTTTTCCCTTCATGTGAAGTATCTTGGAGCCCCTCTAAGGCTCTAAATTATTCTATCACATGAATCTTTAAGAGATTTAGGACCAAATCCAAAGTCCAATCCTTTCTTTGTTAAGATATGAAATTAACAAATGAACCATCCTTTCCCATGTACAATCCATGGAGCGTTCTCGAAGCTCCAAGTGTTAGAGTACATGAATCATTATAGCTTGGAACTAAATTCTAAGCTACCCATCCTTTTGTTGGAACCTACAACCAACAAACCATCTTCTTCCTTCAACCTCAAAGTTGTAGGAAGTTTATCAAATCATTTATTTGTTGGAACACAAACCAACGAATAATCATCTAGACACAGGATTGAAATTATTCTAGTCTTCCTCATTTGCTTAGCCACTTATTAAGCAAATGAATGATCCTCCTTGGACACTCAATGTCCAAGAAATTCCTTTCAACATGCATAACCTTAAAAACTTAAATATAGGTATTATTAACGCTTCTCTTTCCTAAAACTCTCAAGAGAACTTCTCTAGAACTTTATCACATGTTTTCTCATCAAACCTCACAAAATATATGTCGCTTCCATACGTAGTCCTACCCAGCATGAATCCAAATTGATTTTGAGAAACAATAGTATCATGCCGTAATCTATGCTCAATTACTCTCTCCAATAATTTAAATGTATGACACATCAACTTAATTTTTCTATAATTCATGCACTGTTGTACATCACCTTAATTCTTGAAAATTGTAAACATCACACTCCTTCACTCATTTGACATCTTTTTATTTTCTCTATAATTCAAAAAGATATGAACTTAATGCTAGTCCTATATGTAATCCAACCGAAATAGCAAAAAAAATTGAAAACAAAAACCTTCAAATCCCTCTCTAGTCTTATCAAGAAGAACAATATCATCAACAAAAAGCATGCACCAAACTACATCCTCTAGCAAATGTCTAGTGATAACAACCATGACTATAGCAAAAAGATATGGACTAAAGGCTAATATATTTGTAATCCAACCGAAATCGCAAAAAAATTTGAAAACATATACCTTCGGTTCCTCGGCGGCGCGCGACTAGGAAGCACAGAGGCCGGACGCGACAAGGAAGGAGGCTCGGCGAAGTCCGGTGATCGTCGACGGCGATGTCCGGTGACCGTCGGCGACGTCTAACCACGGCGAGCGACGAATGGCGATGGAGGGTGACGAGCGAAGCAATGGAAGTGAGAGAATGGAAGGAAAAGAATGACGGCCAGAGGGGTTCGAGTTCGCGAAATAGGGCTTCTACCGGCGGACGTTCCGCCGGTAATTTTAATAATGACGTCGGTATAATTTCCGACGTATAATCCGTCGGATATATTTCGTTGAGTTTAAATAAGCCGGCGCACTATCCGCCGGAACCGTACGCCGGAATAGTTCCGCCGTAACATGCGACGGAAATGGTTCAGGCATCCCTATACCGTCGGGTTTTCCGGCGGACAAGGCGTCGGTGAATTTCCGACGTATGTTCCGCCGGTAATGTTGACGCAAACTTTATGTCGAGCAAATCCGCTGGTACCTGCGCCGTTTATTACCGTCCAAAAGTTTCCGCCGGAAACTCCGCCGGTATTCGCGTGTTTTCCCG